AGTCGGGATCGGGCTCCCTCCTATCTACATCGGAGTCAGACGGCTGGTCGGGACGTGCCAACCTGCCATGGAGCACTGTCAACACCAACCCCCCATTCCAGAATAGAGGCCTCGCTACATCCCCCACTCAGACTCGTGCAAATGACCGCAGTGCTCCTACTATCAACGAAGCTAGTGATAGCTCTTACTTTTCTCTACCCCGAACCACTGGCATCAACACCGCTGCTGGCACCGCCAGCCACCGGCCCTACCTCAACGCTGCGTCGGAGGGTGTGTCCCCATCCGGAGAAGGCATCACCTTCGGTGGGTTTGCTGGTCGACGCCAGATAAACACCAGTGGTCTCGGTGGCAGCCCCGTGGGAGCGACCTTCCCTGTCAAGCCTGGCTTTGCGAACCCTCTCGATGGTGCAAGCGGAGATGGCATGGGTGCCTCAATGGGCATGGCATCATTGGGGTCTGGAATTGCGGAGCATATGTCCCCGCCCCAGGCTCGCAGCGCACTATCTCACGCCTCTCACAACTCAGCTTCTTACTCTACCCAGCGCCCCACTCACTCCGCTCACCCTTCTTTCTACTCCGACAATCACAGCATCGATGGCCGCTACAGTGGTGGCTCGATGGACCTCAATGCCGGATTTAACAAGCTGCAGCTCAATGAAGCCAACTACGGCTCCCAAGCCGCCCAGCGACCCTCGTTCGTGCCTCATGCATCTTTCGATGGCACCTTTCAACGCGGGAAGTATCAGAACAACGAGGACACTTACCAGGCCCTTGGATACACCGCAGAGGCTGCACAGGAGATGCATCTTGCTTACCAGGCACGATCCAGAGCTGCAAACACCGGCTCCATCTCACCCTCAGACTATGCCCGCATGGATAGCCCCATTTACGCCAGCGTTGACGGGCCGGCTGCTCAGTACCGCAACACAGGCACGAATGAAAGTCAAGTGGCAGCCTTTGAGCGCAGGCTCCGCAGCATCCAGGAGCAGGAGCTTGCCCAAGGTTCCTCGCGGATGCAGTACCCACCTTCCTACGATTTCCAAGCTTACCAAGCTTCTCGTTTGAATGCTCTCTCTGGGTTTTACCCAGTGGGACACCTTAGTGGCCTCGGTGCCGCTGCTCTGGTATCGCGCACTCAGCGCGAGCATGATCCTACCCAGGTTGTCCGCAGTCCCCTCCTAGAAGAGTTCAGGGCCAACAGCAAGGGAAATAAGCGCTACGAGCTGAAGGACATCTACAACCATGTAGTTGAGTTCAGTGGTGACCAGCACGGTTCTCGCTTTATTCAACAGAAACTTGAGACCGCGAACAGCGACGAGAAGGAGCAGGTGTTCCGTGAGATCCAGCCAAACTGTCTTCAGTTGATGACTGATGTCTTCGGCAACTACGTCGTCCAGAAATTGTTCGAGCACGGCAACCAGACCCAAAAGAAGCTTCTTGCTAACCAGATGCGCGGCCATGTCTTGGCTCTGTCTACCCAGATGTATGGATGCCGAGTGGTTCAGAAGGCGCTCGAGCACATCCTGACTGACCAGCAAGCTGCGATGGTCAAGGAGCTGGAGAACCACGTCCTCAAGTGTGTTCGTGATCAGAACGGTAACCACGTCATCCAGAAGGCCATCGAGCGTGTTCCTTCGCAATACGTGCAGTTCATCATCAATGCGTTCCGCGGCCAGGTCAACAGACTAGCCGCCCATCCTTATGGCTGCCGTGTCATTCAGAGAATGCTTGAGCACTGCGAAGAGGTCGATCGCCAGTCCATTCTGGCTGAGCTTCATGCCTGCACTTCCAATCTGATTCCTGACCAGTTTGGCAACTATGTCATCCAGCATGTTATTGAGAACGGTGACGAGAAGGACCGAACTCGCATGATCGACATTGTTATGGGACAGCTCCTTGCTTACTCGAAGCACAAATTTGCTAGCAACGTGGTTGAGAAGAGCATTGAGTTCGGTGCGGAACATGAGCGTATCCACATCATCAGCACCCTAACCTCCACCAACGACCGCGGCGAGAGCCCTCTCCTTGGTCTCATGCGTGACCAGTATGGCAACTATGTCATTCGTAAGTTGAACCCCTATCACTCGTTGTGTACCATACTAACCCCCAACAGAGAAAGTGCTGGGCCAATTGAAAGATGCCGAGCGTGAAGCCCTCATCGACCAAATCAAGCCCCTTCTCAGCCAGCTAAAGAAGTTCAGCTACGGCAAGCAGATTGTTGCCATTGAGAAGCTCATCTTTGACCCCAACTCTCCTGCGACTGGCCCTCTGTCTCACACCACCTCGACCACTCCCCCTCACTCACACAAATCCTCTCCGCAACCCGCCAAGCGCTCAATCCCTACCGAACAGCCTCGGGCCCCTTTCGTGGGTAACGCACCACCCACTCCTCCCCCGACGGATGCCCAGACCACCGTCGATACCACCCTCGAGTCGAAAGGCCTCGCTAAGAGCACTGTGACTTCGGTTTCGAGTCCCGAGACAGGCAACACCGGTGTTACCGTCCCGGTCGACGTCACCAGTGCTCACTAATTCGTTGCACACTTTATCTTGCTCGCCCAACATAATCTTTCTAATCCTGATTTGATCTGAGCCGAGTAACTTCTTGTTCTCTATCTAATACGGGGCGTATACATACAGGGGAATCAGACGGGATATATGTTACCAACGTCTATGTGATTCTCCCCTACTTGACCATGGCTTTGACGGCGCAACAATGAGGGCCTGGAATGTCTTTATTTCTTTCTTACTATTTCTTTTCTTGTGTTGATCTCGATCTCGATCTCGGACCGCCGACTTATTTCTTATCTTATCTTATTTGTTCTTGTTTCTTTCTTGACATGTTCATTTATTCTTACGATTGTGTTTGTGAATCATTGTCAATGCTTCTCGCTACGAGATCCAGGTCCGAGAATCGATATGGCCCCGGCGTCTTTGTTCTTTCCACTTCTTTCCATTTATTTTTATTTTGTCACGGGGTTAAGGGCGGCTGTGATGGGGGAAAAAATCGGCAACCGGCTCGGAAAGGGGGGAACGGATTTGATCTTTTCGCTCTTCATGATTTTCCGAGCGCATATGCCATAGCATGGAGTCCCGGACCTTCCACACTCACATTCGGATCCAACAGAAAATACGACGAAAAGAATCAATTCAACCACTTTGCACAGCATTTACCTTGTGCCCATGGCATCTGCATGATCTACCCAGAACCACCTATCGCTTTTATTTCTTTCACACATTTCTTTTCCTTCTCTGGCCAATTCAACATATTTCAAGTCATGGCTATGATTATTGATCCCGAGCTCCACGGCTTTCCTTTCGCATCAAGGTGTTCTTATCAAAGGTGTTCTTGCTTTGCTTCTCGTTCAGCATGCGCGATTCTGCTTGCTCGGGAGCTTGTTATAGCTGTCGGCCATTGTGGACTTTGTGCTTGTCTGTTTCCGGGTTGTCATGCCGTGTTGATAATTTCGTGGTATTCTTTTCTTCCTCTTGCTACTGGCTGTACTATCAATGCATTATGACTTGACTTTAATTTTGCTAGTATTGCTGAGAATGATGTAGATTTGTACAAATCCCTTCCTCCGTCGTAGTATATTCAGTGTATCTAGCTCCAGGGCCCAAGCTAAAGTCTAGTAGTGTACAACGACCACTTGGACCATGGCTAGTCTTCTAAAAAGACATTTTAAAACATTCGCTCCACGACTGGATGTCAAGGTGCTGTGCCCAACACGTGACCCACGTAGATCATATCACACGTGACCAGAGTCCCGTGATGGCCGATAAGGCGGCGCATTTTGATAGAGTTGGAGCGAACTAGTCTGCACTTCCACTTCTTCCTTGACACTGTGATCAGAATTGTCTCTCTGCGTGTTAACGGATAAAACCCCACGGTGTTGTCCAATTAACCCGTTATCTCTGAACTCTTAATCCGAGCTCGAAAGAACCTACATCCAGAGTCGGCATCCAGACTAGCTCCGAGCTCTCTCTATCCCGCAAAACCAAATCTACAACAATCACTACTACAACAACCACATACAATCCTCCACCAGAGTACCCCTGAATCAAACCCCACTTTCAACCCCACGCAAACCAACCAACGAACAACCACAAAAATGTCCTCCAACGTCGGCCTCACAACCCCGCGCGGCAGCGGCACATCAGGCTACGTGCAGCGCAACTCTGCGGTTCTCAAACTCCGCAACACAGGCTACGGCGCCCCCTACCCACCCATCAGCGGTGCAAATGGCAGCGGACCAATGGACCGACCATTCAAGCAGCGGATGCCAGACAAGCAGATCCTCGAGCACGACCGCAAGCGCGCGATCGAGGTGAAGGTGATGGAAGAGCGGGAGCGACTGGAAGAAGAGAACGAGCGGATCGAAGAAGAGGCAGATGATAAGAAGAAGAAGGCGAAGAGTGGAGCCAAGAAAGAGGAAGATGGCGAGGCGGATGAGGGGGAGAAGGTTCTCAGTGAAGAGGAGATTGATGAGAAGTGTGATACTCTTCGACAGCAGTTGCTGGCTGAGCTTGAGGAGGATTTGAAGCGTGGAGAGTCTGGTTTCAAGAAGCCTTTCCCTGGGTCTGGATCTGGGGCTGGGGCTGGGGCTGGGAGGGATAGGCGCAATCTTAAGTCTTATCAGGTTCATGAGCTTGCTGAGGCGAAGATTGAGGAGACGGACAGGTTGCGGAGGGCTTTTGGCTTGAGGGAGGATCGGGAGACCGGGGAGATTTCTAGTTCGAGGGATTATCGGGAGAAGAGGAGGGATTAGATTATGACTTGACCTGCTTTTTTTTCTCTTTTTCTTTGCTTGGATCTACCTTGTGTCTTCTCAAGTAATGGTGTTGATCGGTGTTCGGGGTTTGAGATTATCATGGAAATAGGGTTGCATGAACAAGTTTTCTTTTCGTTGTCCATGTTATGTTGTACAATCTTTTTCGAATGCAAAGAAATGAACAATTGGATATCATAACCTCATCTATAATACACCAAAACCAGTACACTATGCCACAAACTTTTCAATAACCCAACCCTCCTTAGGATCCTTCTTCTGCACAACCTTCTTAGCAGGCATCGGCCAGCCCACGCTACCCCCATCACCCACCAAAGAAGGAATAACCCAGCAAGATCTGCGCGGCGGCACACCCTCAATAGCATCAGCCTTACCAATCGGCTTTCCATACTCAATAAGCGGCGTGTCATGCGCAATCGCCGAGAGCTGCAACCCACTAGGCGCAACAAGCGGGAACATCCTAATCTTAGGAACCTGATCCGAGACTAGCGAAGCAGAAGACTGCTGCAGATGCGAGTAAGTGATATACTTCGGCATTTCCTTCGGTGAGAGCTTAGCAAGCAGCGAAGACGGATGCACATAGACAGCTCGTTCCTGCAGATCCTCACCCTTACCATCCCGGGAACGGAAGAGGGTCAGGTAAGGGACGTCAATGGCGCGACGGGGAGTACGCGGGTTCTCCGGTGGAACGGGCGCCTGATCAGCGCGGATAGCGACGTGATCGATGAAGCCAGCTGTAACGATCTGCTTCAGGGCCTTGATTTGCTTTGATGAGGGCTCTGGAAGACGGGCTTCGTAGGCAGGGACTAGGCCTGGGTTATTTGAGCGCACGATATCGGTGAGCTGGCGACGGAGCTGGGTTGCTTCTTTGAAGGCCTTTGCGCGGAGGAACATTTTTTCACTGAAGGCGTCGCCGTCGGAGGCGTAGCCGTAGGCGCAGATTGCAGACAGGGATTTTAGAGCGTCGGAGGTGTCGTCGTGTTTGCTGAAGAGGCGTTGGGCGCGGGCGTATGCTTTGGTGCGTTTTTCGCGCTCGTCGTCTTCGAGACGGTCTGCGTTCGTGTAGACCTTTCGTCTGTCGACGTCGCTGTCGCTGTCGTCGTCGACTTGCTTCTTGGCAGTCGTGGACAGTGGTTGGTTCGGGTCGAGTTGGTTCTCTGGGACGAAGAGGTCGCCGACTGCTAGGGCTGCGACTAGGGCGATCACGTAGGGCATGCAACCGTGTTGGTGGCCGATGTGGAGCATTTTGCTGAATCGGGGGGAGAGGGGGTATGTTGAGAGACGACGGCCGATGGGGGTTACCTGGCCTTCGGCTGTGAGGGCGCCGAGGTTCTTGAGGAGTTTCTCTGCCTTTGCGAGACCTTGGCGGCTCGGGGGTGTGGGGAATGGGAAGTTGATCACATTATGAAGACCCATGCTCTTCATCTGGAGGACGACGCCTTCGATGGGAGTGCGGAGGATCTCTGGGTCGGTGTATTCGGCGAACTCGCCTTCGTAGACTGCAGAGGAGTACATTCGGTAACAGTGGCCGGGTCCTGTTCGACCAGCTCGACCAGCTCGCTGGTTTGCGCTTGCCTTGCTGATCCAGCCGACTTGGAAGCTTTGGACTCCAGTGAAGAGATCGAATTGCTTCTCCTTGGCGCGACCGCAGTCGAAGACATACTTGATACCGGGAATGGTAAGAGATGTCTCGGCGACGTTGGTTGCGAGGATGATCAATCGGGAGTTCTCTGGGGCCGGCTCAAACACTTTCATCTGTTCTTTCGTGGGAAGTTGGGAGTATAGAGGCAAGACGTGGACGCGAGTTGACGAGTCCATGGCTTCTTCGCCTTCAGCGAGTTCGAAGCCTTCGTCTTCCTCTGCATCATCCAGTCCAGTGATCTCCATGTCACTGTCGTAATCATCATGTCCTGGATTTTCCATCTCGGTGCCGCCTAACTCAAGGTCCTCTGCCTCCAAAGGAGCCTCGGTAGCCGAGAGCTGCACCTTTGCCTGTGTCGTGTCTTCCCGCTGAGTAGGTTTGAATGCCTGCTTCAGACGTTTAGAAAGCTGTCGGATTTCGTTCTGACCAGTCAAGAACACAAGCATTCCACCGGCAGGTAGTTTGCGGTGTCCGCGCGAAACCTTGCGGAACGCATCCTCGACGTAGTCGCGCTGTGTGCGGCGGGAGAAATGAACTGCAACGGGGTATTGGCGACCCTCGGCTTGAACCAAGGGGGGTGCACCATTACGGAAAAGACTTGGGTTCTCGGTGAAATCTGAAATACGGAGAGTGGCTGACATAATGACGACCTTCAAAGGCTTGACAGACGGATCCTCCTCGCTCAAAGACTTGCGCAGGCCCACAATACGGCTGACCATTCCAATCAGGATATCAGTGTTGACGCTGCGCTCGTGAGCCTCGTCAATGAGAATGATAGAGTATTTGCGAAGGGCAAAGTCATCTGCGATCTCTCGTAGAAGAATACCATCAGTCATGAACTTGATGGCAGTCTTCTTCGATGCCGTAGACTCGAATCGGATTTGATAAGAAACCTTCTCGGCATGTTGACCCAATTCCTGAGAAACGCGGTTCGCCATACTCACGGCCGCGACTCGGCGAGGCTGGGTGACACCAATCAGACCGGGGTTAGGGCTACCTGGGGAGCCGAAGCCAGATTCGAAGAGGAACTGGGGAAGCTGGGTTGTCTTTCCACTACCAGTAGCACCCCAAATGACGACGACTGAGTTGTTGTGAATTGCTTCCATGATCTTTTGTTCTTCGCCAACAACAGGGAGTCCAAGACGGGCGGTTTGGATTTCCTCTGTACGGTCAACCGCAACACTGTAGGCCTTGCGGTTGGGATCGCCATGAGTTACCTGAAGCTCCCGCGGGAGAGGTTCTTCTTGGGTGGTATTGTGAGTTGCTGGCAACTTAGACGGGTCGAACACCTGCTCTTGCTCGGTCACGGCTCCCTCGGTGGGTTGGAAGCCTGCGGCTTCGTTGATCTGTTGTACCGCCCAAGATTTGAAGGCCGATTGGCGAGTCGTGAGCTTCGGCTTATCTTCGTCCATTTCGTCATCATCTTCTGAATCTTCTGAGTCTTCAGAGTCCTCCTCATCCTCATCCCCGGAAATGTCCTCGGAGGATGAAGTATCTTCCTCTTCAGAGTCCTCTTCTATATCACTTTCGGACCCTTCGCTCATATCATCTCCATCTTCATCTTCATCTTCATCCTCCTCGCCCGAATCAAAGCCCTCCCATGCAACCTCGGCTTTTACCGGTGCAGGTGTGGGTTTCTTCTTCGGCGCGCGCTTCCGCTTCTTTAGAACAGGGAATCCATCAGCTCCTAGCTCTAATGGTCGCTTAAGTCCACTTCCAGCAGCTGCCTCTTCTCGTAGCTTTTGTTCATTGGGATCTGTTGCAGGATCGGAGACTTTTAGGTGGATATCCGAATCGTCGGTATCGTATCCTGAGATGTCGGCGGGTGCATTGTGTTTCGGCGCGGAAACGGCCGGTGCAGATACGTCGTCATCCTGTCTCTTACGCTTGGAAAGATCTCGGGAACTCTGTAAAGAGGAAGTATCGACAGACGTCTGCGCTAGCTTTTTCAACAATTCGATATTTTCTTCCTTCTTGAGTTTGTTTTCCTGCGGGAATGTTAGAGCCGTATCTTTCTATTGCAGTTATCCACATACAATATATTTGTCCAAGCGCTTCTGTTTCTTTGAGGACATCTGGGGATGCTGCTCTGTTAGCTCTCCCTTCAGCTTCTTTCGCCGTTCCTCTTTCTCATCCTTGGAGACGGGCTGGAGCTGTGCGACATTGGTATCAGCCGACTCCCCGTCTGGGTTTTGTCGGTGCCTTTGTTTTCTGAGACGTGGTGTAAATTTAGGCGGCATATTGGATTACTGCAGCCACTTTGGCTGAGAAAATAAGATAATTGACTGAGTATGCAAGCTTTGCGATCCAACTGTTTCCATCAAAAAAAAATAGGGCGGTCGGGATATTGCCAGCTTGGCCCGAGGCGGTGAAATAGCCGCCGCCTACGACCGGACGACGAGCGTCGACCCGATAACACTTAGTTAACCTATATTTGTTCTCTTTCTCTTCACTAAAGTATCCCTACAAAAATAAATACTATAAATCACCATGGTTGAATATTTTGATACGAGCTCTCTACAGGATTCCCTCAACCTGCCATTTCCTGCTACCACTAAGCAGATTGCGGGGTTAGTCAACGGCGTACAAACAGATGTGGTGATAATGAGCTTTAGCGACAAAATCATGGTCACAATTTCACAAGAAGGACGATTGGCACATTGGGTATGTTCTTGAATTTGGCTTCATTGAACATCGCTAATGATATATAGTTGCATGTACCGATGGAGAACCAAAACCCAGGTACTGAGGGCATGCACACCCTCGCTGAAGGCGATGATGCTCTTTTGCCCCTCAAAAGCCTAACCACCACTACCTTACTAGGTGGCTATTCTCCTGGACAAGATATAACGGGTCAACTGCTTGCTCGTCAGATAGCTACGGCTATTGCAACAAAAACACCTAGTGAAAAGAGATTACTCCTCGTTGGCCTTGGACTTGGAAAATCAACTGCGGATAGAGATTCATTTTTTGCTATCGTGGATCTGGTTCTGCAATGCCTATGAAACATAATAGCCCGATCTCCGACTGAGAACAAGACAGCCATCGGAACGAGGGGCGGCCATCATAACGAGGCTTCCGCAATCTGCAAAGCTTCCGCAATCTGCAAGGTTTCCGTGATCTGCGAGGTTTCCGTGATCTGCGAGGCTTCCGCAATCTGCGAGGCTTCCGCAATCTGCGAGGCTTCCGCAATCTGCGAGACTTGCGCTAGCTTTCGGGCTCGCTCCAGAACACGGTTCAGTTTCTCATCTGTGATATGTCCATTGATTCGAATTCTTTCCATTGCAACGAATGCGCCACAAACCAACACGTAGGCGAGATCCCTCTCGGTGAAGGACTCATTCTCCCAGTTCCTTCTCAATTCGACAATCACCGTGCGAACGGCGATAAATCCCTCATCTCTGTGCTTTACCATGAACGCGACGAAATCGCAAGTGCGCTTCCTGGCCTTCTTGGGGTCGTTGTCACCCAGCGCGAATTTTATCGCTCGAATTCGGTTCGTCATCAGTTCTCGGAAGATTGGGCATGGCGGGGCGAGGTACGCATGTCTGGGGAAATCCATCACCACCAGGGTCCGATTGCTCAGCGCATTGATGTATGCAATCGACGTCTCCGACATCCAGTCAAACGATAAAAGTCTCGTGGAACCCGGTATCTTGGGGATAAACTCATCGTTCTCGATAAAGATTGCCTCTTTGCTGTCGTCAAAAACGTACTTCCAGATCATTGCGCGGATCTCCAGCGGCAGCCAATCGAGTCGGCACGAGCTTCGTCTATTCGCGGTAATCTCCGGGTGGTATATTCTCATGTCTGCAAGGAATCTGTTCTCAAACGATTCCCATGTGCCAAACTGCAACCAGAGCCTTTCCATGAAATCTCCCCCAGCAAGGCGGCTGATGTAGAAGAGTGCGCTGTCGGAACTGGCACATTGTCAGATGAAATGGACTTGTTGGTGGCATTGCGCCCCATGGTTTTGAATCAACTTACTACATGTACGATGCCTTCTTAGATGTCGGGACTACATCCACGACTTGGTCGAACTCACGCGGGATAGCCGAATCTTCTGGACCAGGGACTTCCAAGCCTGCGTTCTTGGTTTGGACAGATTCATACGAGACCTCGGAAGCCGGGACCTCGGAAACTGTCACTTTGTTGGACTCGCGCTTGGCTGCAAACTTTCCTCGGAGGCGCTCGCGAGTGGCCGAAGCATTCGCTCGGATGCGATGAAGGGTTTTCTTGAACCTCTTCATTGTGGTTGGTACTCATGCGTGATGAAGTGAGATGGGTGGAGGATCGTGAAGGGGGGAGGGGGAGAGAGAGGATCGTGATGGGATGCTGTTGTCGTCGACATAAGCAGGTGTCGGCTCGGCGTCGCCCCGACAATATCATTCATATACCTGCCTACATCTGTGACCTATATTTACAGACGCTACGACTGCTTTCATCTGATTCCAGTAGTCCATTGCCCGTACATGCTCGGAGTTAGGTCTATTTCAGTGTTGCTTTAGGCGTCGATGGGCAATGGAGGTCTACGGCGTTATGTGGATAGGAATCGCTCAAAACTATCTATCAGCTGTGAATACTGTGAACGCGCGGTAGCATGTTGAATACTCAATCGTGTTTTCTTTTTCCCTATGAAGTAATTGGTTAGGCCATGTATGGTATAGTTCGATCTTGTTTGTCTCTTTAACTACCGTGAAAGAAAGGCCTAGTCACTATTAGACTCACAAGGTATTTTGAATATTTCACCCGTGGTTTAAGATATCAGCTCGAACTAGATGTCATGAAGTGGTTGAACATGGGACTAACATCCAATGAAACAACGAGATGAACAACGACCGGAGACACTCTTGATATTGCGGTATGGCCAGTCACGTGGTGCATATTGACACAACAGGGGTTGCATACAACATAGAAGACGACCCCTGTAGGTAGACCGTGAACAGAGCCAGTTTCAGGTTTGGGACAATAATGATTCTCTAAACCTTAGAATAACTAACGGCTGGTTATTGCGAGTCCATTTAGTGATAGCCCGCGCGTAACCTGGCGGTCTTGCATTTGGAAATCTTTCTTGGGTCTCATACTCCACACATCAATCGTTCCATTATTATCTCCCATCCACATCTTTTTTATCCCCTTTGTCTTCTACCCTTATTTCCCGAAAGAAAACCTGCATCTGCATCCGGTCTTTGTGGAGTTCTGCACGATGGAGCCACTAGTGGATCCTGAGTTAGCCGCTGCCGTTGAGGCCTCTCGCCAAGATATGTATCGCCAGCAGAACAGACATCCCTCATCCCAGGCATCCCAGGATAATTTTGTGGATCTGACCAATGACTCGGGAAATGACTCAGACATTGAAGAGATATTCCCCAAGTCAAAGTCCATGGTGAATTCCGAGTCTGAAGATGACTACGAGCATGAGCAGCTACAACGTGCCCTTGCGATGTCGATGGAGCCTAACGAGCCCCAAACCCCAGACAATGCACGGACTCTCAAACATGTAACTGCACCCCGTGAGGACTCTGTGCCATTGGCCGGTTCACTTTTGGGCATGAACCGGAAGCAGATGGAAGAGGAGCGTCTTGCACGTCTCGCCAAGCGCAAAGCCGACGATACTTCGTCTCCTCCGCCATCTCAGGTCAGCCGGAAGCTCCCCAGGACTGAGCCCTTGTCAGCCCGTCATTCTGCCACTCTACGCAATTCATTCCAATCAGTCCCGCAAGCGAATATGGTTCGAGTGAAATCTCGTACTGAGGTCTGCCGCCAGCTGGCATCAAATGCCCCGAACATTAACATCCAACCGACCTCCCGCTCACTGGCCCAATGGCCTCTCGGAGCTGTCAAAAAGACACACATCACCGGTTTCCCCCGTAGTGGAAATGAGATCACCATTGAAGAAGTTATCCAGCGAGATGACTTGGAGTTGGGTGTATTTAGCTCGTTTCTGTGGGATATGCCGTGGCTTTATTCCAAGTTCAACAATTCAACACGCATTTTATTTATTATGCAGGCAAAGGAAGAAGAAACGGTTAGCAATGCACTATGACCTTGAATAACACGGACTAACTTGACTTCGTTCACAGCGAGAGCAATATCGTCGGGACATTAGCAGCATGCCCAATCTTCGCTTGTGTTTCCCACCCATGGAGTCGCAAGTGGTTTGTATGCATTCCAAGCTACTTTTGATGTTCCACCCCGGGTATCTTCGTATCGCAGTCCCCTCGGCCAATCTAACTCCCACTGACTGGGGAGAGGATACACTCATGGAAAACGTATGTGACTACGCCTATGTAATGCTCTTGGATTTTCTAACAGCCTGCAGACTGTATTCCTTATCGACCTTCCCAAACTCGAAGTTCCTGATACTGGAAAGACTCCGTTCTACAAAGAACTAGTCTACTTCCTCCAGGCCTCCGAACTCCACCGCAACATCATCAAGAAGCTAGATGGGTTTGACTTCAGCGAGACAAAGCGCTACGCATTTGTTCATACAGTGTATGTATTTATCCTGGATGATTCCCCTATCAAAAAAATAGCCATCAGCTGACAATATAAGTGGCGGAACCAACACTGAAGACAGATGGCAACGCACTGGATTCAGCGGTTTGGGTCGTGCTATCAAAACCCTTGGCCTAGAGACAAACGCACCCATCAATGTCAACTACATCGTGAGTTTCTTTATCTACCATACCTCCATACATAATACAGCACTGAGTATACTAACAACAAACCTAGACCTCATCGTTGGGAAATCTCAACACTCCATTCCTGCGCTCGATATACCTCGCTTGCAAAGGTACACCATAATCTTCCAAAACGCAAGACCAACGAATCTAACCAACTACAACCCATAGGTGACAACGCTCTACTAGATTACGAGCTCCGAACCGGAAACAAGAAAAAAGAACCCCGCGCAGAAGTGGAAGCCCATAACCAAGAATGTCTCGAGCACTTCCGTGTTTATTTCCCCTCAGAGGAGACCGCGTGTGACGTCCACAGCAATGCCAAAAGCGCCATCGGTACGATATGCTTCAATCCAGCCTGGTGGTCCGGTGCAAATTTCCCGCGTGACACGCTTAGAGACTGTGTCAGTGAGCGTGGAGTTTTGATGCATAACAAGGTGAGTATTTCCGCGGCTGGTTATAATGATTTATTACTAACACACATTTCTTATGGCGTACAGCTTGCCTTCGTTCATCCTTCCACCCCAATCGAGATGCCAGATAACAAGGAGTGCCGGGGTTGGGCTTATGTGGGGAGTGCGAATTTGTCGGAAAGTGCATGGTGAGTACATACCTATACTTCTGTCGCTGTGATGGGGAAATTAACATGAACCAGGGGTCGTATCGTCAAGGATACCAAGACGAAACAACTGAAAATGAACTGTCGCAACTGGGAATGCGGCGTTATCGTGCCTATCATCAGTGAGAAGAAGACTGAGGAGAAAGATAAGGGACCAGAGACACATCGGACTGCCCCTTCGGCTCCGCTCCCTGTTGAGGTTTTTAAGGATACCGTTCCTGTCCCGATGAGAATGCCGGCTGCTCCGTTGTCGGAGAACCGGCGGCCTTTCTTCTTTGGCGTTTGATTTGAACTTGAACCTTGAGACTGGACTTGAATGGAAAGTTCTTGAGCCGTTGTTCACTCTACTTCTGAGTCGAATCTATGTCTACATCTGCAATATCCAGTGAGAGTCTAGATTTTCACTATCCTTGTCATGGGTATCTGGGATATGAGTTCGTTACCTGGTTAAATAAGAAACGGAATGAATGGAAGGATAGCAATTGAGCTGTGACCTTCAAAAACAGAGAAATAATAATAAAAAAACAGTTCATGTCTTAAAGCAACGTGATGACTAAAGCTATATAATATAAATCCAATAATAATATCTAAATGTGTGTGCATATAAGCATCACTTCTGGTGTATCCAATATCACGCTCTATGTAAATGCATGATGAAATGTAAAAAATCCAAAAGAAAAAAAAAACTTCACCAAATTTTTGAAGCCCTAGACCGCATCACTCTTCTTCCCCTTGAACAGTCCCTTCACACGATCAATCATCAGTCCACCCAAACCAAACAGCGAGCCAATACCAAAGCTCCAACCTCTCACACGAACAGTGTAAATAAAGAAATAAACCAAAGCCCAGTTAATAATAACGAAGGCAAGGAAGATTCCAAAGCAACGCCACTTATCCTCAACATGGACATTCAAGTTCGCCATATACTGCTCTCCATCCCGGTAGGGACAGTACTGACAATCCGCCGTAGCCTGGGGGTTAACCAGGTACCCGACCTTCGCGATCGAATCGACGAAGTTACCAGCATAAGCATCACAAGTTTGTCCAGGGGGAGGGTTGAAATGTGTAGCTTCAAGCGAGGAACAATCAATCTGGACATCGGGCAAAACAGCCGAGAGCACACCGCGCAACCACCAGGTCACCGGGTTGACGTAGTACATCCAGTATTTCCAGAAAACGGGGTAATCGGCGTACGGACGGACGATACCGTTGAACAGATTGACCATGACGAAGAAGAAGGGGAGGGTGTTCGAGATGACAGTGAAAGAAGGCGCGAAGGCGCAGACCCACTGGCCCCACGATGCCTGGAACAGGAAGAAGAGGATAGTCATCAGGAAGACGTATCCTGCGTTCGAAGACTCGGTCGGGAATCCGACGGGGTAGTACCATAGCAACCAGTAGATCAGACCGGAGATGATGGCCGCCGGGATCTCGCAGACGACGTTCGCTGTGCAGAAGGCGACCCAGCCGTAGATTCGGGATGGGTATTCTCGTGCTTCCCAGATGGCGCGGTTGATGTAGAATTTGGGGACGATGGAGTTCAGGACGATGGGTGGGATGAGGATGATTAGGAAGACGGAGAACATTCGGTCTTGCATTGATGCTACTGTGTTAGAGAGCATGTAGAAGGTAAATCCGTTGAAGATTCCGATGATGACTGAGACGAAGAGTTTGCCGTAGTAGTAGGATGGGTCGCGCCAGTAGTTTTTGAAAAGACGTTTTGTTAGCTGGAGGGTTTGGGTTGAGGTTGGGGCGGCGAATTCGTAGTGGGCCGAGGCGGATTCCTCGATGGGGACTTTGCTGCGCTCTGCGCGGATGTTTTCGATCTCAGTGAGCATTGCGCGGTTTTGGTCTGAGTTGCGCCATTCTTCGTTCCAGTCGAGGAGTTTGCCGTTTCGGTGTGTGGCTTTAGCTGCTGTTTCCAGGATGAATTCGGCGACGTTCTTTG